TGCGTGTATTTTGCTGGGCAGATTGGAGCGGAATTTTGGCAGTCGCTAGTCGATTTGCTTGAGCGGTTATTCGTGCAAAGGTTTTGCTCATCAGCGAGCTCACGGCTCAGTTCGGTTCTGGCGAGATGTCGCTAGGATAGGAACTGCTTCCATCGCCCGGCGTGCTTCTTTCGCGCTTTTTGCTTTGTGAAGTTGTCGTTTTCCTTGGTTGGTGACTTTAGCGGCATCATCTCTTTGTCTTACCTGAGTGTTTTGCCGTCCCAGAATTTGTCTTGAATTCTGTGGTCGGGGCTAAGCACTTGGATGCCAATGGGTTTGGAGATCAGTTCTTGTTTTTACAGGTCAAAATAGAAATGTGTTGGGAAAATCCTTCAAGTTTTTTGGGTCAGTCTGCCTCATCCCATTTCGGGCAGCTATCCACAGAACGACGAAACAGACCTTCGTACGAAAGATATTTTCGTTGATGTACTGTGTTGTTACAGGCATCCACTGTCCATCAGTAGTGAAGTGCGGAAATGAAGTTGAACATTGCATATCCGGCTACCGGATGTCAGAAAGTGTTTGAGATTGATGATGAAAAGAAGCTGCGTATATTCTACGAGAAGCGAATGGCCCAGGAAGTGGAAGCAGATGCGCTTGGCGACGAATGGAAGGTATCTTTCATTCGTAGCGCTGAAAACCAGTATCTTACTATCATTCTGCAGTGTTGCAAAAGGAAGAAGGTGCTGATATGAGCAACGACGAAGTTAGCGGCTGATCCCCTCCGCCTTGCCCCAGTTGCCCTTTCGCTGCCATGTGATCCCTCGCCTTGTGAGGCGGAATGAAGTGTCGCATAAACACACAAATATAATTTAGAATGTTGCTTCTGATCCCTACCGCGCCATGCTCGCAAGCAAGCTTGACTCTTGCGGAAGCAAGTATCCAGTGCGTAGAGACGCAGCCGACTTAAATTTCAGCTCCCTCTGCTGCCCAGTACTGCCTTGTATTCTCAAAACTTTTCTGTTTCTTCGGCTATCCGTGCGGGCGTAAACGTTGGTTTTACGTTTTATAAAGTCACGCATGGGCTTTTATAAAGTCTTTATAAAGTCACGCATGGACTCATAAAAATTCAGTTTCCACTTTCTGTGATTGCTGAATTGGAAGTGGGCGACAAGGGTACACGGAGACATACGCATTTACGTGCGCCCACACACTCACACGTGTATACAGACGAAATACGTGCACACACATATACAAACCATGGACAACTCCTCGTCAGTTTGTGTTTTAATGCAGAAATGCATGTAAAATAACGAATATTGCACCACTTGTCTATCGCGACTTGCCAAAAATTTCACACTTTAATGCTCCTTGAAGTTGGAACATATCCGATAAAAACTTTAGATCCGGATTTTTTTTGACAAGTTGTCAAAATTCAAAGATTTCGCAGCATTGAAGCTATTAAAAATCCTAGGGTCCACATTAGTCAGCAAACATACTTTTGTGTAAAAAAAAGAGCAGTGGTGGCAGATGGCAAAATTAGCCTGAATTACAAGTTTCTATTCAAGGAAAATTAAGAAACACCACATAAGCAATCCGGTAATAAGCGTCGCGCAGGATATCATTGCGACCACAGGAAAAAGTGAAATCCATTAGGTGGAGCTTATAGTTTTTTATGCGTTTTGTGCTGTGTAATAGCGTTACAAAACGCATACTGTCACGGGGTTGTGTGTGTGTGTGTGTCCCACATTTTGTCCCGTACTTTCAACTCGGGAACCACGAAAGCTAGGCAGCTGAAATTGTGGCATAGTGTTCCCCACCAACGGGTGACACGGCAAATTTAAATCCAGCCTTCCCTTACCCGCGGGTAACGCGTACGGCCCCGGGAAAGTTTTTCACGGGTAAATTAATATCTCAGGAATCACGGAGTCTAGGAGGCTGAAATTTTAGGGTAATGACCTTCTGCCCACGCTCAATCTTGCCCATTCAAATTCAGCGTTCCCGCGCTTTTGAGCATCACCTACGGCCTCGTGGAAATTTTGACGGGTAAACTATTAACTAGAGAATCACGGAAAGATATTCACCGTTCAAGGTTTCGAATTCATCTTTCATGCGCTGGTGTTTGAAATTTTTAATTATTTTCCAGTGTTTGAACTATTTTTGCATAGACAAAAGTACAAAGCATGAAAATCATTAATAGGCAATCGTTCGATGGGCTGAATTGCAAAAAACGCATGATCGCACCGGCTAGTCTGGTGCGCGTTGCTATTCATTTTGCTTATAGTTAGTGAACGTCGTATGCACGTGGGGAATTGACGACAAGTTGCATGTAGAAAAGCAGCGCACATTGGGCAAGCTTTTGGGCACTAACTGGACATGTGCAGATTAGAAGCATAACCCCATTGAGCATATGAAAGCATCCCAGTAACGTCACTAACATGGAATCCATCCATTAATCGTTCGAGTAGTTTTGATAGTTATTACATTTTGATATTTTGTTCAGTTGTTTCATCGTTGTCGCCTCTTACTGTTGGTGTGACTGGCGACTTCTTCACTTTTTTCTGTTTCAAGTCTCTCTTATCCTCATAATTCTATACAGCCGTACATCCTTGTCGTTCCAGTGCATTCTCGGCCTCCCCTGTGTCCTTTTAAAATTCTTTGGGTGCTCCCTGATACCCGTTTTATCTGTTTGTTCTTTTATTCATCATACATAAGAACTGCGCTGCTGCGCTCAATTGCTTATCATGCTTCTCATGAAGGCTAAGGACAGCAGGGAGTGTAGAATGATGCAGCTTCATCCTTTTTTGTCCTTGATGCCCTCTTACTTTTCATTCTCTGGCGTTCTGAGCGAAATTCATTTCATTTGAATGATGCAACCCGAGCGCTCATTACAGGGATATGTCTTGCGTATTACTGGTGGAAACGATAAGCAGGGATTTCCGATGAAACAAGGCGTGCTGACAAATGGTCGCGTACGTCTGCTGCTCTCAAAGGGACATTCCTGCTACCGCCCACGTCGCGATGGCGAGCGTAAACGCAAATCAGTTCGTGGTTGTATTGTGGATGCGAACCTCTCTGTTCTGGCTTTGATCATTGTGAAGAAAGGTACAGTATTAAATTTTAATTTACACAGGGATATTTTCTATTGGCGGGAAACGATTTCGCGAACCAGGCAACGTAGAAGGCTGAAACTTTGCAGGGATATTCTCTATTTCGTGCGAGATAAAAATTTTAAACTCAGCTCTCTAGCTCCCCAACCACAGCCTCAAGCAGCTCCTGAGCCCAAAAATCGTTAGCAACTCGGACCTCACAGTCAGTGCTTTCGGATGCATCGGCAAATTCCGTGTGGTCTTCGCTCTCCACCGAATGAAATTTTTTGTTTACTTGTCTTTTACGTTCATTCCTCCTGTTTTACCTACATCGGCAGACTAACATGTGGACTTTTTGGCATCCTTTAATTATGTCTATAGATACTGGAAGCATTTTCTCTTTTTTTCAGTAACGCTTCTCTTCTAAAGTTTTTCAGCATAGTTTACTGAATATCTGAGGGAAAAGCAGCATTTCGATTAAATTTTAGCCTTTACAATCATGCTCCCTCCCCCCTCTTGCCACTGATCGATCACCGAATTTTATCCCTTTGCGGCCGAGCTGAATGAAAAAGCAGTGCGCCTTTGGCGTGCTGAGCTCGAATGTTTGCATCACCGCAAACCAGCTAATTTTTATATAAATCGGATTTAGAAATGTGTTTTTGGAACTGTGCTTTGGAACTCCACATAGAAGGACTGTCGGTTGACCCATATTTCATAGCATCATTGATGATTTCAAATGTTGAGCCAGAAGAATGCCCACCTCTTCAGTATTAGTGTGATGGAGTTAGTGACATACGGATGTGAAACACGGTCACTGACGAAGGCAGAAAAGCGTGCACTGACTGTGATAGAGAAAGTTGTGGAACCAGAAGGTCTTGTGATGTCTCTTCGCGATCGTATAAGCATCCACAGTCTGCATGAGTTAAGCGGCTTGCAGAATGTCATTGCATTCACGCGATAAAGTGAAATCCAGTGGAATTAGCGTGGTTGACTGCCATGGGAACTTCAGGCGGCATCTCGTTTTAGTGGACTTGGTAGGCTTCCGAAGAGTTGACGCATATCGAATTAGAGATATGTGGCTGTGGGTTCAAGAATCTGGCATAGCCGTATCTTTGACATGTGGGAGCATCACTTATATTATTAATACGCTATCTCCCCACTGCTTCGTCAATGCTTGATTCCAGATATTGAGCGAGAGGAGACAAGGCATACATGCACATCTGTTTTTGGGGGCTTTCTGCAAATAAATGCATTGTGGAGTATAGGCTTCTTTGTCACTCCTGAGTGTGTAACATTTACGTATCACACCGTAGAAAAGAGAACGAGTTGAGGATTTCGTGACCCAGCATCGTGGAACCCCTATCCACGATTACGTTGTTTCTGCGAGTGTGTAGTATCCACCGATGTAGACGAGACTGGTGCTGCAGAAGACGCTGTGTCGCGGCACCATTAAAAACTCGAAATTTCATCTTTACTGGTAGCAACAGTGATGCACAGCAATCGGAAGCATAGAGCCTGTCGCAGCGCCTCGTAAAAAGAGGACGAAGTACGTCGTTCCTAGCGTTCTGACTATCCATGTGACCCTCTGCTCTAGGTCTTTGGCTTTTTATTCGGAACCGACAGCAGCAGCCCATTCGAGCTTTTACGGAGAAGCGGGGGCGATGACGACGAAAAGTTCCAAACGCACTGGGCTGTCTGAAATCGGAGCTTACATAGCCAATAAGCCCAGCAAAATTCTGGACTTGCCTGTCCGGGCGGCATTTTATCAGGATCTAACCATATCCTGAGGATGCTTGCTTGCTTGCGCAGCTGGTCATCAGACTTTAGCACAACCTCTGTTGATCAGTCGGATTATGTAATAGATGCGCGTCTAGGTGGCTTTTAAACTCGTGAGGATGAAATCAAATGTTTCCACTGTGATCCTGCCCACTGCATGGAAATGTCTGTGAAACATTGATGCTTTTGGCTGCTTGCGAAATTCGCTGAACCAAGTCGTATGGGTAAATGTTAAACAAGAAAGGCAGCGAATTTAAATCATACTTTTTGACAAACTTCATTGTACTGAAATGAACAGTTCGAAGTATAAATTATGTGCTTTTTCAGTTTTAACAGTGAAATTTGTTTTAGGTGAGCAGGAGATTCCTGGCCTGACGGATACGACTCTTGCTCGTCGTTTGGGCCCCAAACGTGCCTCCAAAATTCGTAAATTGTTCAATTTGTCGAAGAAAGATGACGTCAGAAAATATGTCATTCGTCGAAAGCTGCCAGATAAGGAAGGTAGGTGCATGAATGGACATTTTTCCCTTACGAAAGCTAGTTCACGCGGCATATCGTGTTGCATCATTTCCTGTAAGCTGATGTTTCTCTTACGTTTATTTCTGTTTAGGTAAAAAGCCGCGCAGTAAAGCGCCAAAAATTCAGCGTTTAATAACGCCTGTTGTGTTACAACGTAAGCGGCGACGTCTTGCAATGAAAATTAGGCGCAGCATCAAAAGACGCGAGGAAGAGGCGCAATATCACAAAATAATGGCTCAGTACTCCAAGGTATGCCTTCATTTGAAGCATTTTTTATC